TAGATTTTGCGGGCCCCTTCCAGGGTCAAGTCTTCATCCCGGTAGACTCATACACCAAATGGTTAGAAGTGATCCCGGTTCCCTCCACATCATCCCAAGCAGTGATCCGCTCCCAATGGTGGGTCTTGAGCACACATGGCATACCCAACACAGTGGTCATGGACAATGGGATGGCTTTCACCTCAGCAGAATTCCAGTTCATGGACTACTACGCCATTCGGCATGTCCGTTCCGCTCCCTTCCACCCGGCAACCAATGGCCAGGCCGAGCAGATGGTGAGAACGACAAAGGAATCCCTTTGCTGGATCATCCATGGGGACTGGGACCACCAACTGGCGGCCTTCCTCTTCGGGCAGCGGGTAACCTCGAGCACCACCACTGGCCACAGCCCCGCGGACCTGCTCATGGGCCTCGACCATCTACACCCAGACCAGGCTCCAGAGCACAGTTCGGCCCCGGAAACCCAAGCAGCTCCCTGTGGATTCTCCCTGGGCGACCCCGTTTACACAAAAAACTTATCCAGGGGCCCTGCATGGGTCCCAGCCAAGGTCATCAGGGTAACCAGGCCCCTGTCTTATGAAATTGACACTGAAGAAGGCCAGCTGCTCCGCACATCAACCAGCTCCGCAGCCACCTCCTCCCAGTCAAAACCAAGTCACCTGCGTCCCAGCCAGATGACAGCGAAGAGGACCTGCCAAGCCTCAGAACACAGGAACCCGAGAACTCACCAACTGTAAGTGAACAGCCCGCTGCCAGGGAACAGCCATCAGAGACAGCTGGTGGAACGCCAGACAGCCGTTTCCGAGGCCCCCGACTCCACGTCAATACCACCTCCGGTCCCCAGTTCCTTGGCAGGTCCGACCAGCGATGCAGCCCTGGAACCCTCGACCCCGCCAGCAGAGGAGGGGTGTTATGTATCGCGATGGAACCATATGTGGGGAAAGGGCTTGCTAGCAAACATGTGCTTGGGGGCGCATCACAATAGGAGGTTTGGATCCTAGAATGAACCAATAGATTGATCCAGATCCTAGTAATAGCCAATTGGTAAACAATGCCCTGTAAATAGCCTATCGTGAGATGTGGGGTATGGTGTGTTCCATGAATATAAGCAGGGCTCTGATCCTGCAAGTTTGTCTTAGTTTTGAGCTGAAACCATTTAATAAACATGAGCTAATCACTCTACGCATCTGAACCCAGTATATTTCAGTAACCATGACTAGTAAAATCAGTTCTTTAACTGCAACTTCAGATCATGAGTTGGAGGCAATAGCCAGTTTTACTAAGCCACCGAATGCTCACTGTGCATCTCATAACAAACTCGGCCTACTGGAAACCTGGGAAGGGAAAAGGCAAGCCGTACACAAAAGTACAAGTCCATGGTTCATTCCTATGGCTCAGAGATTGGCCTGCAATAAGCCACAGGATATGTGTAAAAAATAGGTTAGCTTGCAAATGACAATTTAAAAGAACTCAAACAGCTGTGGTATAAAGGATTTTATTGCTTAAAAATAGCAATTGTGCATAGAGCAAACACAGAAGTAGGTAAATATTAAGGATTTTACATTTTCTTATACATCTTTGATACTAACAGGGAATGTATTTGCAACTTTTAAAAGAATTAATTTTTTCTGCTTTAGAATTACCCGATGTTTACAGCAGTTTGCATCAATTTACTATTTCAGTTGTTTACTCATCTTTCAAGTACTTTTCCAGTACTACCTTATTAATTTTGGAGTCCATAGCTGTTAAAACACCCAGATGACCAGTATATTAGTCACTATTACAGGTTGACTAAATACAACCCAAGGCTTCACTCCACAATCTTTTATTGGGCAGCCAGATGTGATGGAGGCATTCACATGTGATTACACTTACGGTAAGTCCATCCTTTCATGAATAAAGTAGGCGGTGTTTACTTTTAAAAAACAAATATGAAGCACATTGGCAAGCCAGAACCTAAACCCTCCCCCATCCATTGGAGGTGTGGGGTAAAGCAGGACAGACATGGTTTTGCTTCTTTGGCTTGTGGGCCCTGTTTTTCTTCAAGTCAATCCCCTTGATTTAGATGTGAATGGGTAGACATGGGTAAAAATACACATGAATCTGACCCTTAAACATGGTACTGTACCATTGCTCAAACTAGCACCCCGAATACACACAAAGCAAGTCCCATTTAATTAAACAGAAAACTCAAATGTGGCTTAAAATCACACCCAAGCCTAAACCAAGTTTACTTCATTTTAATTAACTTACGTATGCCGGCCTTGGAGATACAAGGCTGTTTCCAGACCAGCTGTCTTGTCCATCTTAACATTTGATTTTGAAATCATGCTGGGGAACACAAGCCATCCAGTACACACACCTTGTGGAGTCATGGAGAAAGGATGGGATAAAGCACCAAGCACTGCCATTTGGAAAGTCACCAAACACCACTGGATCTAGGTACTTCATTAGTAAGTCCCAGTAGCTCATATGGTTATTCCACATTGATGTTGCAAAACACTAATTAACACTCTTTTTTTCTGTAGCAGACTTGTATTGCATTGCCTTTCCATGAACATATTTTAAATGCTAAATAAATAGGAGCCTCCTTTGCATTACATGAACAGATGTAAAACACTTTCACCTTAATTCAGCAAATCCAGGCTTCAGGAGAAAATCAAGCATCAGGCTACCAAAACTGTGGGGTGAGAATGGAGACCAAACCAATATGGGAAGTCCCAGCAGTATATGATGTATGAGACACCCAGAAACCACCCAAGGTGTAGGGGAGTCTCAGAAAAGACACCCATGGTCATTTAAATAAAGAATATGTCAAGAATATGTTGAATATGCAACCAATGTAAGGGTGTAGGTATTGTTGGTATGGGAGAGGATAAAAATGCAGACCTTTGGTAATTGGGCCCTGACCTGGATGGCCCAGTCTAGCCCAGTCTTGCTAGTTCTTGGAAGCTAAGCAGCATCAACCCTAATTAGTACTTGGATGGGAGACCACCAAAGAATTCCAGGGTCATGAAACAAAGGCAGGCAATGGCAAACCATCTCTGTTCATCTCTTGCTGTGAAAACTCTACAGGGTTGCCATAAATCGACTGCCACTTGGTGGTGCTTCTCTCTCTCTCTCACACACACACAGTGGGGCCAGGACACTAGAAGCTCTCCCACTGTTGCCCCCCCAAGCACCAAGAATACAGAGCATCACTTGCCCCAGACTGAGAGTTCCTGTCTATACCTTGTGGCTAATAGCCATTGATGGACTTCTGCTCCATATGCTTATCTATTTCCCTCTTGAAGCTGTCCATGCTTGTAGCTGCTGCCACCTCCTGTGGCAGTGAATTCCATGTGTTAATCACTCTAGATCTGGACATAGATCTGAAGGAATGGGGGAGATTAGACTGACAGTAAAGCTCTATCAGACTGAGGAAGACCTGAGCTTTCACCAACCTTAGCAGCTAACCAAGTACAGCAGTTGATAGATAGGTGGTCAGATTAATTGTATCTGAATTAGTCTAGAAGCTTGGATAAGTATTAGATCTACTACAGGAAGATTCTCTAAGAACTAAATTGTGCAGTGAACAAACAATAAGGAGTGCTATGAAAATAAAGTGTTGATCTAGTAACGCGAGAACTGAAAGGAAAATGTACTTTAAATAGAACTGCTACAGCAACACACGCATTTAAATATAATTTAACAAAAAAAGTATAATTTAATTTCATTTAGCTCTGAAATTATATCAGTAGAAATACCTTGTCCTGCTTTGGGAACAGTGAGGAACACTGATGCCAGCTGCAATACCTTAGCTGAGCTTTTGTTTGCTCTTCCTGCATATATCTTGTGGGCAGGAGAGAGGCATGAGCTCTTGGGTGTGAACTAAAGGGCAAGAGCCAAGGGGCTCTTGCGGTACAGGCCATATGAGCTCAGCTTGCCCAGCTTCCAGTTTTAGACACAAGTTTCTTGAGCACAGACAAACCTTAAACCCAATAGCTCGGAACTACTTTGACTAAGAGCGCGATCATATGCACAATTAGCCACGCCATAGGCGTGAATGCCGGGCCGATTTAAAGGGCACAATCAGACACATCTGGGAAGCACCTCGCACCCGTTGGCAACCCGTTTTGCTCTGCCGCAGAAGCGGAGCAAAGACACTAGGGAAAGTCCTGTAGCAAATAGGTTGCTACGGCCACGGAGGTCTTTCCCATCTGATCGCTCTAGCACGCTCTCATGGCGTCAGGATGGTCTGATCAGGCCATCCCGACTCCATGCCGTTGTTTCCCCCCCCTTCTCAGTACGCGCATCATCACACACTCCATAGGGAGCCCTCAGTGCTGAGAGGCGATTCATCGATTCCCCATTTAAGCACATTGGGAACTAACGGCCAACTCTCCCCCCCCCCGACTCACCCGCTTGTTGCATCTGATCACAGTGGCAGCATGCCCCCGTAGCTTCAAACGATTGTGTGATCATGCAACTGCGGGTCAAATTCCTCCGGGGGAAATAGCCTCTCTTCCCCCCACGTTATCTCGTGCGCGTGACCACCACCTATGTTTCATGCACAGCAAGTTACAAAACACATCAAATCCCATAAATAAATCTTTATAGTAATTCATAAGATTTTTCCACAATTTTTTAAAAAGTGGAGTAATGTCTATAGAGGAGTTCACTAAGAGACACCAGGACAGACAATCCTGTGAACTAAGCAGCTTTAAAGACCTGCATTCTCAAGTCTCAATTAAATATCCAAATGCAACAGTAGTCTTTTGTATCAGCATAGTAGTTCCATCTCTCATAGGCTACAAAAGTGCTATTTTCAAATCCATAAATAACTGACACAAAGTACAGGACTGAATTGTTGTCATTCTAGACATGATTCTGATTTGTGGATATCTCTTCACTGCAGTTTCCAAATGAATAAATGATAGTTTCAGCTAGCTACAAGTTATTTTGTATCCTAACCAAAGCCTCTTATGAAACTAGTTGTCTGGACCCAACAAAGACAGGCTTCTGCCCGAATCACTTGCTGAACTGCAAATGCTGGGTGTAAATTTGTTGTGAATTGGTAAAATAGACATTGGACTGCAGATTCTATTTGCACTGCATCTCAAGATGCATTCAAATGTGTGGCTCTGTCCACATTCTAGCACAACTAGTCAGGTCTAGGTAACTTTTGAAAGTGCAAGTAGAGCAGCTTTGAGAAATCATGAATGTGAATACTTCAGGTTTAGTCAACAGTATTGATCAATTTATGATTTTTGGCAGCAAAGAGGAATTTTTTCCTTGCTTGCAAGGAGATGGGAGAAATGGATCAGACCACTTAAGATTGTAAAGTCTGTCTTTCAATGAACCTTCACAAGAAAAACTCCATGCAAATGGAAAACTAGCACAACAGGAAGAAAGCTTCTACTCCCTCACTTTGTTTGCTGTGATGGTTTTTTGTTTGCAGAGGGTTAAAACTAAAGCATTCCACAAAATGTGACTCCACACCTGCATTCTGAAGTGGTACAGTCCATTCAACCACTTCTGTTCTCTGTTACTCCATTCTCCTGCAGGGAAGAACCAGACCCCAGACCCAGCAACTTTTCAGTGTACAGTTAGCTTGATACCGGAGGTTGTGCTTGTAGTGAAAATATTAATGCGGCAAGGAATGCATTGAAAAGTGAACATTATAACACAATGTACACATATAAAAATAATAGAGGCAGCATATTTGAAAGGCATTTACATTGTGCTCATAAATGTAAGCGAGTTTTGAAGGAAGCTCTCTTATTTTGCAGACATTAGCATATTTCTCAGAATATTATAGAGGGAATATTACTTTATTTTTAAGAGTAGTTTGGCTACTGCGATGCAAGCATGCAATCTATCAAGCACTGCGGCAGTATAATCTCTGTCTGAAATGAAGAATCACACACAATCAGTTTTTATTAAACTGGTTTTGTACAACATGTCTAGTTCCATTTGCTTAAATGCAGTAGATCTCAGCATGGCTTGAAGCCAAACCATACACCTGGATCATATTAGGAAGCCAAACATACACCTGGATCAAGGTAATAATAATAACAGCATCCCGTGATTAGAAACTGAAAGTGCACATCATGTTGCTAAGGCACTGCTGGGGTTAATCCTGTTTAAGGCGAAGATTTCCAAAGTGATCTGGTGGTACTGAAAGCTTAATTGGACTTTAACATTACAAAAATAAAAAAGTAACATCAGATATAATACATATTCTTGGGTGATCAGCCTGATCCCACCACCTTACCTGTTTCTAATCCAGATTGTATATTTCTAGCCAATTGGCAATAAATAATAGAGTAAGGCGCAATTTTCAAATTCCCTTTTGAGTTTTAAGGTCATTTCTCAAAAATCACCCGACTCTTATATCTGTAAATACTAGGGGTAAATGCTAAATGGCAACACTTTGTATTTGCTAACACAGAAGTTTGCTATTCTCAAAATTTCCACCGACATGGTACTTATCAGGTATCAGCATGTGGAACTAATAATATTTACCATACTAAAATGCTAACTATGCCATCTTGTGATGATTTTATCACATCAAGCATGAAACATGAAAAATGGCCTTAGTTGTATATAATGCAACCAAAAATGACCTGTGAAGATTCAATATACTACTGCCTTAGGGAAGACAATGGTATAAAGGTCTGGAAAATGTTTTTAGCTCCCTTTAAAAGTGGCGGCTGACCCATCTCGAACTGTATCATTACAAAAAAAATATCACCATTTCAGTTACCATGTTGTTATTTAACACCTGTATTCACTTGAACAAAGCAGCTACAGGAAGAACAGGCATGACCTGTTATTTTACTTCCTGGGTTTCTTATTCCCAGTCATGACAAAATAATTATCATCTTGTTTAGTCTTCAAAGTAGTACCTTTTAAACCACCAGGCGTTCCTTTAACAGTTGCAGTTGGGGCCTTTGCTTTTAAAGGAGGATTCTTATTAGCTGGATCATGGATTTTATTACTCTTCTGGGAGGCTTTAAATGACGACTGATTATTGGTGGCAGCCTGCATTGTCTTCTTCCCGGTCTCAGCTATGGTTGATGTCTGGGGAAGACGCACAACCGACAGCGGAGTACGCCCAGGACATTTTGAGGTGTCAGATCCTACATGAGGTCTTGCTCTGTTACTTTGAACCTTTCCATTGGCTGAAGACTGGCTGCTCACAAGTGAAGATACAGTTTTACCTCTTGTTTTTATAGCAGATGTTGACTGTGATGATTTATCTGCCATAAGTGAGGAGGCTGAACCTAGTTGTTTGGGACTAGCAGCAGTTCTGATGTTTTTGGCTTGGTTAGTTTCTAGCATGCCTCTTTGTGATGGTAAAGTTGGAGAGGTAGGTTTAGAAGCAGATTTTGCAGAAGAGTGTTGAGAGCATGCTGGGCTAGGGACACGAAGATTTCTCTTAGTTGGCGCTGCATGTTTCTCAAGAGGTGGCTTAGGTTTGGCACTTTGCCCAGCTTTGCTGTTAGATGGAACACAGTCTTGTTTGGAGGTCACTTTTTTAGTTGTCCCAGGAAGCCCAGAAAGTTTACTTGCTGAACAAGAAAGAACTGGGTGAGATATGGCTGGAGAATTGTGGAAATGAGCAGGTTTGACTGATGACAAAATATGTTTCGGAAGCAATTCTGAAGAAGCCGTAGCAGTTTTTAGTAAGGCAGATGAAGAACATTTATTTGTAGGTTGCACACATTTTGAAATACATGCAGATTTATGAGCAGGATATGGTGATTTTTTTAAAGTAACAGTGGAAGACTTAGAAGATGGCTGGCTGTTATTTACTGAAGGCCCTTTTGACTGGGGATTGGCCAATGCCACTTTGGTTGAAGAAGGTGTGTGCGCTGTTGCTTTTGAGGAAGACTTAGCTACTGCCTGCTTCCTATGAGGTACATGAGAGTTCTTTGGAACTGAAGCAGTAGAGGGCTTTGAATTTTGCTTCTTATATGTATCAACAGCTGATATGGGATTCATGAGAGGTGGTTGTGGGGTTCTGGCAGATGAATCAGGAACCATCTCACTAGACACACCTTTTTGAAATGCTAAAATTTTTTGTTCCAATGTTGCAAACTGCAGCACTCGGCAAGGGTCGTATTTAAGAAGGAAACCTTGAAGAGTATCCCAGCCTCCACCGACACGTACCATCACGTGCTTGCCATGTAGCATCTAGCAGGGAAAGGGAGAGAAAAGGATAGTAGAATATTTGCTTAAGTGCTACAATTTATAACCAATATATTTTGGTGATTATAAAACCCTCAGATGCTGCTTTTCCTGGGATCTTATGATATGTTTCTTCAGCCATCTTCAGCCAACTTCCCCCCAAAGTTACACAGATATCCCACTCTGGCCCTGAAGACCGCATCACACATCCTATGTAGGCAGCGGAGAACAGGTATAAGCAGCTAACAATTACTGATGCAGATCAGTTATGCTGAAGCTTCGCCTACCAGCAGGAAACAGGAACATTCCTCCCATTCAGTGAAGAGCTTGGGAGGACAAGGTCACCAGGATGATGTATGCATGAATGAAATTAAGTGTGTCTTAACAACTCTTGCAGGGGCACTGAACACGACAAAGCCAAACATTTTGAGAAACTGCACTTACTCGAATGAAGAGTATTCTGTCTCCCAATCTATAGCGTCCTTCAGATAAATACTCAATTGAAAATCTATGAGAGCAACTGCAAGGAGGATCTTCAGCAATGTGCTTAACCTGCATTGTAGAAGATTGTGTGTTACTGCATTGTTTTTAAAACAAAAACTCAAAGATGGATTTCCTATTTTTCTATAAAAATTATTTCACAGAAAGCAAAGTAATGTTCATTTCAACATGATTTTCCTTTCCTTCTGCATCAGGAATCCCGAGTTACCCAAATAGGCAGTCTCCTAATTAGTTGGGGGAATTAGCTTTAAGGAGACAGGACAAGAGGGGGTAACTGGGATTCTCCAGCTATGTTTATGGGGATTTTGGCCTTATGAGAACTCTTGAAATAAACCAGGCAGATGTTCAACAGGAAAAGTTTTTATTTTAAAAAATAGAAATGAGCAAAAACATACTTATACAAACAGAAAACACATACAGAGCTAGCTAAGAGGGAGGAGAGGAGAGAAAGATCTTAGGGAAGGATCATAACTACCAGTCTCAAGGAAAGGTCCAGTGTTTCGTGAGGAGAAGACAGCCCAGCAAACTGGGGGTGTATGTGGAGAATCCAAGGCACACATACATGCTGTTGGGAAGTAGAGTGCTTCTGATACAGGGCTATATACTCTGGTGGGTATAACGCATTTGCCAGAAAATAACTTAATGGGCTTTTCTGAGGTGGACAATGATGAGTGAGAGGTTTGATGACCCTACAAGTACCCTGCAGGAAGGGCTAATGGATTAGGTGAATAGTGGGAGGGCTTTTAGTGTCCTGGCCCCACTGCTGGACCTCCTGATGGCACCTGGTATTTTTGGCCACTGTGTGACAGAGTGTTGGACTAGATGGGCCATTGGCCTGATCCAACATTGGATTTTCTTATCTTCTTAACTAAGCGTTGCTTAACTGTCACTTAATTAGGGTAAATGGGTGCAGAGGAAGCAAGGTTGGACTTGAATGGGATTAGTCCAAGGGTGACTCAATAGGTTTTGGGAGACCCATTGTCCTAAACTGTGCATCCCTCCGGGGTACGGAGGAGACAGTAGACAGTCCGTCACTCTGACTCATCTTCCAAAATACTTGCCCAAGCTTGTTCCTGACTAGCATCAATTTTGTTTCATTTCCAGCCAGGCAGTGTCCTGCACTTATGATTTTGGGGGTTTTATTTTAAGAAGAGTGTTTCTGCATCTATAAGCTAGAAACTGCCCCTCTGTGGGAGGAGGGGTCTGACCGCTAACACCACATCCTTAAAAAGCTCATTCAATGATTTTTAGTAACTACTGTATAGTTCACATAAGAGCATTTCATTTTTCTCTTTCTGCATTTTAATTTACTTTTCCTTGATAATTAGTTGGACAATGAAGAAGCTGAAAGGAAGAAAGTTGATTCCTTTGAAATGTGTTAGAGGAGAGTTTTATGAATATTGTAGACTGCCAAACACAAATAAGTGGGTTCTAAATCAAATCAAACTTGAACTCTCCCTAGAACTAAAATGACTAAACTGAGGCTATCATACTTTGATCACATTATGAGAAGACAAGAGTCACTGGAAAAGACCATAATGCTAAGAAAAGATGAAGGCAGTAGGAAAAGACAACCCAACATGAGATGGATTGACTCAGTAAAAAAAGCCATGGGACTCAGTAGGGTTGCCAAGTCTGGGTTGGAAAATACCTGGAGACTTTGGGGGTGGGTCCAGGAGAGGGAGGGGTTTTGGGAGGGGAGGGGCCTCAGCATGGCACAGTGCCACAGAGTCCACCCTTCAAAGCAGCCATTTTCTCCAGGGGAGCTGATCTCTGTCAGCTGGAGATTCGTTATAAAAGTGGGAGATCTCCAGTCCCCACCTGGAGGCTGGCAACCCTAGGACTTAGTTTGCAAGAGCTGAGTAAGTCTGTTAATGGTAGGATGTTTTGTAGAACAACTGTTCATTGGTTTGCCATAAGCGACCTGACAGCATGTAACACACACAGTTGGGACATTATGACTCAAATCTTAGGAAAAGTATTAAGTTCAAAAAGATCTAAGGATCTAGCAGTGCACATGACTGAAGCCTATTTAGGAATAATTCTGTGGTGTTGCACAACTAGATTATTAGTAAAGTGAGATTATTGGATAACAACATATTAATGGTCCGATAACCAAACAGAACTAATAAACTTTGAAGCTGTTTCTTAAGAGTAGAACACTAAATCTGTTGCTGTATGCATTTATCTTGTTCCCAGTGCATTTAAGTAATACCATTTACTGGCTGTTTAACGTGTCATGTTTAATATTGTGCTTTGTTCAGATTTCTGCTTTGTTTCGGGTTTTTGCAATCCCAGTCCTATTTCATTGCTTTTTTTATATCTCATCTATTGATTGCATTGATTTACATTGTGTAATCCACCTTGTGTCTCAGCGAGAAAGGTGGACTGTAAATAATGTGTGTGTGTACATGTGCTTCAATTGATCTCTAACATGAATATATAAGCATATTTGCTTATTCACTTCAGTGGAGGAGCATGTAATAGGTAGATAATTCAGTGAACAAATTTCCAGTTGATATAAATGAAATAATCTTTCAGAGTCTTCATAAAACAAAATATATGTGATGCTTACTGCTTCATGTAACTCTCCATGCTGACAACATGATTTGGGGGTGATGACAGAAGCTACAGGATCAGAAGACATTAGCAGAGTCTCTTCCAATTCAATTTCTTTCTCCAGTTTTACTAATACAGGTGGTTCCACTCCATATCTAAGGGAAAAGGAAAGAAGGTATGAACAAAGTACGAACATAAGAGTAGTCCTGCCGGAACAGACCAGCAGCCCATCTAGCATACCATCCTGTTTCATGAAAGGCCTACGGGCAGATCATGGGTTAAGTAACCTGCACAGCCAGTTTTCAGCCATTGAGAAAAAGTCTTTGCCAGGACTTCTTGACTTGTGTATCAGTATACTGTAGATGAGGGATCTCAGTATGTACATTGGCCAGCTGCAGATACTGACCCACAGACTGATGCCACTGGTGATGCCCCTTCTGTTGGGCATCAAACAGCAACTTGGAATTATGAGAAACTTTCAAAACCTATGACCAAATTTCAAAAGCCTGTGTCCTATTTTTTTATTTTTGGTTCTCAATTCATTACAATTACTTCATTCCCTGTTGGTTTTTACTGGGCTCATCATACTGATTTATGGTCTGGTGTAAGGATGGGCACAAACCAGCTCCCGAGCCAAAATTTGGCACGAACTTGGGCTGGCTCGAGCCCCCAAACATGTTTGGGGAAGGTGCCTTCCATGAACATTTCCCAGACTTTTATTTGGTTTGGCTGTTCGGGGCCATTTCAATCTAACAGTTGAACAGCATAGGGTCCACAGGTGAGCTGTTAGATTTAAATGGCTAGCAGCCATTTCAACTTAACAGCTGACAGGGTGCACCCACCCTGCTATTAGGTTAAAATTGTTGCAAAACATTTCACTGGTCATTTTCGCCTCCCCCCTCACTTTGAACCGGGGGCAGCAAAATGAACGGGTTAAATGGCCGCCAGCCATTTAACCCTTCCTGGGTGATCTGCCCGTTTCTCCTGGATGCAACAAGCCACCGGTGGGAGAAAAGGGAACTGAACTTGCCGGACTGGCTCAGTTTGGGTGGGGATCTTTTGGCTCAGTTTGGAGTTTGGTTCAGGGGCCACCCCAAACTGATTTTTTTTACATTCGTGCCTATCCCTAGTCTGGTGGGTTTAATTTCCTGAACTGGGATTTCTTACATGGGGCCTGAATCCCTGATGAAAACTTGGGAAATACATTGACTACACCCAATGCATTCAAATTGTCTAGCCAGAGAACTATATTAAGTACATACCTTGATACAATGCGACCAATTTCTAATAGACAGAGGTATACCTGTCTTGGATCCTTATGCAGGACTGTGAGAAAAATAAAGTGTCAATGGTTTGCTGTTATCATGAGCAGTTAACTTATGTTTAATAAAAGCCAGTTGCAGGTAAAAAATAGCAACAACTGAGAGAACTTAAAAAACAAGAAAAGATAGGAAAATGGTAAGGGAGGAGGGTGTAGTATACATCAACAGTTGCCACGCTCCCTGTCAGTAGAAAAATCTTAAAAGCTTATGTCCAACCCTGGTAATTTCCCACTTCAACACAACACTGCTTTATTTCCCCATCCAAAAATTATCAAATCCAGGCTAGGAGAAATTTAGTCTCTCTAATTAAACACTCTGCCAAGGATATACAAAGCATATACTTCTGACACAAAGTCTGCTACTATAAGTAATCTGTAGCTTTCTAAATACTTTGAGCTATGTGTAAGTTGCAACACTGAGCAAGCTTGGTGACAGATTCCTTGGGGGGAGGGGGATTCTAATGATAAATTTTGCCAATTCCATTTACTAGACAGAAATTGAAGCAGTCACCTTGCCTAGCACATCTATAGATTGTACTAATGAAAAATATTTGACAGGGGAAAATGAATAAAAATAAGCAGCTTGGAATGTGTCTGTTTCATCTAAAGATACTGGAATTCAACAAAAGTGAATGTATAGAATAGTAGTTACTGCCAATTGTTTGAAGTGCAAATCAATGGCTGCGAACTGAACTGTATAATCAGTCCTAGTTTAAAGAACAACCTTGTACTGCAAACAGTAAAAGCTGTGTCTCAACAAGTGCAAACATTTCACAATTGTTTAAGAAATATTTTTCATTCAAGGTTGGGAATATATGGGTGTGGATCATTTTAAAAAGACAGGCAATATTAAAGCCTTAATTAGCAGACACAATTGTGAATGACTTGTCTTAATGTGCAGTCAGAGATTTCATGAGTCTGGCAGGTGCTGGTTTCAAGTCCAGCCTGAAAACTGGAAGCAAGGAGTCCGCTCCTCCAGAGGCAAAACCCATGCAAAATCTATTACTTTGACAATGTGAATGCAGCTGAAGGAGTTAGCTCTAAATGTGTTTGACTGTTTTCATAACTACCTAGTTAGAAAAAAAACCCACAATTCATGTTTCTGATGCAAAATGTTAATGGCTAATAAGTTGCTGCCACTACAAGCCCAGAGGCCTTACTTGACTGTCTAGCTTAGCTGCCATGCTCTTCAAACATGTTATACAGAAAATGTCCATTGGGTGCGTCCAATTCCTGAAAGGTGTGGCACATTCTATACAGATGTCAGTGGTCCATGCACTAGACACAGTTTACTCAAGAACTCAACAAGAAAAAAAATTGTACAAGAACTGTTCCCAAGAGCATGGAAAACTATTAGGCAGTCAAGCATGGGTTTTAACATACCATAGTAACTATTGCGTCCTTCATATCCATCGCCCTTCATTATCAACAGAGTTTGACACCAATAAAAACAGCATCTCTCCTTATAATAATTGTGTTTTGGGGTGGCCCTTAGCCTATGGGGTGGTGAGGAAAGATGCGCTCCCTCAGCCATTGGGCCACCAGCTGCCATTCAGGACTCCTGGCGTCCCATTGGCTGGGGGGGAGGGAGGGACAAGGCTGGCCAGACCCTTGCGAACTGGGGACGGGTCCGACTGATGGCGCCGGCGGCAACCGGTTGGCGGGGAGAGAAGGGGATGGCCGCGCAGCACTTCCCTGTGCTGCTGCACCCTGACTCAGGGACACCGTGGGCACTTCTGCTGGGGTGGTGCCCCTGTCCTCGCCACCCTGGCAGCGTGCCCTGCCTCACCTCAGGATGGGGGGGAGGCCATGCCGTGCTTCCCGGGGCCGCCACGGCCTGGCCTGGGGACGCAGGGGGCAGTTCTTCGGGGAGACCGTTCGGCCTCCACCAGCTTTCCCTCTGCCGCCCTTGCTGGCCTGCCAGCGTGCCTGAGCCGCGGGGGGGGGGGGGGGGAGCCGCTGGAAGGGGAGGTGCTTTAAACCCCCTCCCCTTCCTTCTCGGCCCCGACTTCCTCGCAGCCATGTGAGGCCGAGCGCGCCGCTGGAAGGGGAGGCAGTTGACACCCGTCCCCTTTCTTCTCAGACCTGGCCGTCTCCCCTTCCCTGTCTGCGCTGGCTTCCTCAAGCTCCCTGCGTGCCAGCTGGTGGAGGGACCCTGCCTGTCTTTGCGGGAGGGGGACTCGTGCTGCCAGGGAAGGGGCCACGCCCGTCCACCCATGCTAGCGCCTGTGGCATTCCTGCCTACAATGGGCCTTCCTCCTAGTATATCATAATGGACCATTTATGCTAAAAACACTCAAAGCTGCTTCCTATTTGATAGAGCATGCCCCAGAGAGCCAGAGCAAGAAGCACTCTAAAGGTGCTATGGAAACATTTGACCTGGATCAAGTGGGAAATTTCACAGGTACGAACAAGTACAGAAAATCATATAACTATCCCTTTTGCTCCAGATAACTTCTTTTTGTCTCAAGACATGATCTACATTCTAAGTGTTACCCATTGGCTTTCAGGTCTGAAGCAGCTGAGTCTCATCCTGAGCCTTCGTCTTTCTTAGCAGAGCTGGGATCCAAAGCTCCCATCTATGTCTTGCTAGTATTTGTGTGCATGCACACACATTCAGTGCCATAGTGAATGGTCCAAGAAGTTTAAACATTGCAATTCGTCACCTCTCAGCTCAGGTTTTGAAAGTCTGCTACAATCAGCACATGCAAGCATTAACCAGACCAGTTGTTACATCTAAGTAATATATGGTGGCACATCTAATGCATTCAGTTCTATCTGAGTCAAAAAAATAGCCAGAAAATGCCTTATTGGTATTTATCGGCTATTCTTTCAGCTGGATATAGAGGGGGATTATCTCGTAAAACAGGACAGCTGCAGTTAAATGGCATTTATCAAGAATGCACACCCTTTAAACACCATTCTAGGTGAGGCTGCAGCTTCACAAATGCGTTTAAAGGGACCATGACACCGTTAAATGCCTTTGGCTTTATTATAGCCTATGAGGACCATTATAGTCAATAAGGAGGAATATATCTGGGGGATATGTGGGGGTCTGAGTGGCTGTTTTTTAGGTGGAGGCACCACATTTTCAGCATAGCTTCTGGGGCCTCTACTCAAAGGACCCCCCAAGTTTCAAAAAGATTAGGTCAGGGGTCCAGTTCTATGGGCCCCCAAAGAAGGTGCCCCTATCCTCCATTATTTCCAATGGAGGGGGGGGGGGACAGAAAAAAAAAGCAGGGACTGATATCAAACCAGACAGTCTCTGCAGTAGAAACTGAAAGGGGGGGGGGGCATTTTTGCAGAACCAGTGCCACTGTAGCAATGACAGCTCAACAAATCCAAGCAAGGGGTTTTGCAAGCCCAGCACAGTCAGTGCATGTACAGAGTGCCGAGCAGTACCAGTGCAATGTACTAATGCCCAACAAAACCCAGTGCCTTCCCTTAAATGCTTTCTTTTCCCCCTCCGTTGGAAACAGTGGAGGATGTGGGCATCTTCTCTGAGCACTATGTACATGCACAGGTTCTACTGAACACTTGGTATTTTTGCTGGCTTGCAACCACCACCCACCCCCCCTTCACCTCGC